CCCCCCCCCTCCTTGCTTGCCCTACCATGAGACGTCAGCTAGTCACACAACATGACTTCTCAACACTGTTCTCTTATATAACTCTCAGAGTTCCGCTTGACTGATGATTCCGTGTGATGTTCCTGATGACTGTAATAATTATAGTAATTATAGTGATGACTCTTGTTGATGATGGTCAATGTGACCATCTGCAGTCGAAAATCGAATCACCGCATGCTGTTACGTAGCTAATCCGTGATATGGTCTTCTTTCACTACGCCATTTTCCAAGCTTGTACTTCAGAGACCTCTAGTGGTAAAGCTATGAAGTTTCATACCAGAGTGCTGGACAGTTGCGCTTATAACGTGACATGGATATCCTCCTCAGAAACAAATAGCTACTTTACATTTCACTGTGCTGTCGTGTGCAAAGAGATAACAATTTGCTGGACATGAAAACGGTTACAAAGAACGAATGTACTGTCCACGAGCTTAGATCTGGCCGTCCTCGGCAGAATGCGCAGTGGATTTCGCTGAGTCCATTTACTGGGATCAGGATTTTGGCGTGTGTATGGGTTAGATAGGGGCTTAGTTACGTCACCCTTTCTTTCTTCCGCACTGTAACCACGGCCCCGTCACTCCTTACTGTACTCCTCACGCGCAATCCAGAGGCCAGCTACAAAAATCAGACTATGCTTAATTTTAACACGAAAGGTTGTAAAATTCGATCAAATAATTGAGCAAGTTTTGTCTACTTCCAAATGCCTAGATCATATAATTTCGACCCGAGTATCGAAGTAGACTTCGAAGAAAATAGCAGAGTAATTAGAATATTTATATCTTTATGGTTTGTGACATGAAGCCACGACAGCTCAGTCGGTATACTGACGGGCTATGGACTGGACGACCGGGGTTCGATTCCTGGAAGGGATCAGAGATTTTTCTGTATTCCACAGACTCCAGAACGACTGTGGTGTCCACCGAGCCTCCTATCCATTGGGTACCGTGGTCGATTTCCCTAGGAGTAGAGCGGTAGGACCCTGAAGCTCACCACTCACATCTATTCAGTGCCGAAGTTAAGAATGGCGGAGCTATACTTCCATTCTCCCACATGTCATTAATTAGCCACAGGGACAACTTTGCCCTTAAGGTTTATATGACGACTTAGTCAGCAACT